ATATTATTACATTAAACTTCGAGATTTGAGCACTCTATATAGTTTTTTCTTTAAAAATTGTATATATTTTTTAAAAATAAAATATAACATTTTTGAAGGTATATTTTTTTCATTAACAAAACAGTTTTAAAAATATTTGTCATGTATTTGAAATATGTAAATAAATCTATCACAATTTCAACAAAACAAATGTTGCTTATTTGTGCTTGATTTTGTGTTAATAATAGCTAAACAAGTTTTTGCAAAACAAATTGATATGATTTTGGGGGGGTCTTTTTAAATAAAATTTCTAGAGAGCGCTATGTATTTTTTTTAATTTAAATTAATTTTTAATAATAATTAATAGTATGAAATTTTATTATATATAAAAATTAATTTAAAATAATTTTCTTTCAAATAGTTTAAAAGAAATTAACAGAATTCTTCAGCACTCGCATGACACCCAAAGCAATAGAAAGCGAATTTTCAGTTTCTAAAGCATACTTTGAGGCGCATGACAATTGCACATGGCAATCTAATTTAAATTTGAAATAGGTATAACCGGGTTTATATATATTGATGGCAAACAAAAGCAGATATAGAAATTAAAAAGCGATTCGGTATTCAATTATGAAATATGATTGGAAGAAATTCAATAATTTTCATTATTTCAAAAAAAAAAAAAAAAAATGCAATAAATTTTTTGATTATTATTTTAGTATTTGCACTAAAAAGTTTACATTTTTTAAAGAAAAATTGAAACACAAATGTAAGAAATATTAAAAAATTTAAAAATTTGTAGAAATTTTAAACTGAAAAATAGTACTAATTTTTACTAAAACAAAAACAACTAATTGATAATAATAATAAATAAAATAAATTTAATAAAATAATAAAAATAATGATTTTTTTGATAGTTGAACTTTCTTTAAAAGTATTTAATTTAAAATTTGAAAAAAAAAAATAAATTAAAAAAATATATAAAAATTAACTTAAAAAAAATGGAAAATAGAAAAAAAAATAATTTGGGTAGAGACATATTTCACTATTTTCAATAGTTGGATTTTTTAATATTTAATTTAAAATTAAAAAAATAACATAAAATTTAACTTAAAACTGAAAAATTAGAAAATAGAAAAAAAAAGTAATTTGGGCAGGGACATATTTTATTATTTTTGTTTTTTTTTAATTGAAAAAATTCATGATAGGTAGCAAAAAATTGATTTGAAAATTGACTTTTTAATAGTAGAAGTTACTTTAAATAATTCGAAATTTCACATAATTCGAAATTTATAGAAAATGTAAAAAATTGGAAAATAGAAACAAATTGAATTTTGAGTAGAAATATATTTTCCCATTTCTTTAAATTTGAATAAATGACTTGAATTAAATAGAAAAACAATTTTGAATTTATAAATCTTATTAGATTTTGGAACATTACGGTAAAAATAATTTTTATTAAAAAATATATTCAATGCTGGTAAAAATATTTTTTTTTTAATATTTTTTGTTATAAAACAATAAAAAAATAAAAATTTCTATATTTCCTATTTAAAAAAATATATATTTTTGTAAAAGAAGAAATTACATTTTTGTTAATTTTTTATTAAAAAAAAAAACATCAAATTAAGTTAGAATTGAAAGCAATTAAAAAAATTCAAATTTTGTCAAAATTTGAAGAAAAAAAAAAATAAAAAAAAAATTAAAAATTAATAGAAAAAATTAAAAAAAAAATGTTTAAATTGTTTAATCATTATTGAATTTTGGGTTATTATGGTTATAACATTTTTTTTAAATTTCCAAATTTTTTAAAAATCAAAATGTTGTAAAAATCATTTTTCTAAATTAGGAACTATTTTATAAAAAAAAACTAAATTTAAAATTTTTTCTATTCTTTATTTAAAAAATTTATATTTTTTGTAAAAGAAGAATTTAAAATGTTGTTACTTTTTTTATTAAAAAAATAACATCATTAGTTGGAAGAAAATTCAATTTTTTTTAATTCAAAATAATTAGTAAAATTTGCCAACATTTGAAGAAAAAGTTAACAAATTTAATAAAAAAAATCAAAATAAATTTTTAAATTTTTTAATTATTTTTAAATTTTATAGTAAGAATTATTTTTATAAAAATTTCCAAATTTTGTAAAAATCATTTTTCTAAATTATGAACTATTTTTATAAAAAACTAAATTTAAAAATTTCTCTATTCCTCATTTAAAAAATGTATATAAGAAATTAAAATTTTGTTATTTTTTTTATTAAAAAAATAACATCAAAATTTAAATGGAGTACAATTCAATTTTAAATTTTTTAATCATTTTTAAATTTTGGGTTTTTATGGTAAGAAATATTTTTAAAAAAGAAAAAGTGATAAAAGAAAAAGTTAAATAAATTTTTTCGTCTTTCCAGAATTAAGGTTATTTAGAAATTTTAATAATAAAACATTTTGTGAAATCATATTGAAATAGAACATGTACAAATTATAGGTGAATTTTTTTTTCAATTAAATAAAAAAAATATATATATAAACATATTAAAATCCAAATATTTTAGCGAATCTGTTTATTTTATTTTTTTTTTTTTTTGCAAAATCCTTTTTTCTGTCTTTCGAGAGTTTTTTTTTTATTTTTTTAATAAAAATAAAAAAATGTTGTTATAAAAATAAAAAATAATATAAAGCAAAAATAAAAATTTTGTAAAATAGAATTAACAAATATTGGGGTTTTTTAATTTAAAAATAATTTATAGATTTTGTCAAAATTTTGAAATTAACTATTTATATATAAATTATATTCAAATCCAGATATTTTAGTGAATGTGTTAAATTTAATTTTTTTTGAAAATTATTTTTTGTGTCTTTCGAAAATTTTTGTTATTTAAAAATTATAAAAAATAAAATTTTTGTGAAATCAAATTAAAAAAAAAATTGGGTGAAAAACATTTTTTATAATTTAAAAATAATTTATAAAATTTGTCAAAAGATTGAAATTAACCATTATTTATAGAAATTGTTTCTGGCAAAACAAAATTTCGACTTTCTAGAAAACAAAAATTAAATTAAATAATTTCAAATTATTAACATTAAATATTTAATATTTTTTTATTTAGTTTTTATGATTTGTTACAAAAATGATTGTTTAATTTTGGGTATTTCAAATTTCCATTTCTTTCTCTTTCTCACCTTCATCATACCTGACAGTCTAACTAATAGTTATTTATTTTTTCCATTTTTTTTAATTTTATTTTTAATATTGTAGTTTAAAGTTAATTTAATAAAGTATTTGTTTTTTTCTAATTTTATATTTTTATCTTATTTATATATATTTACAAAAAATATTGTGAAACTATTACTTATTTTTATTATATAAAGTATAAATATTTTTTTCATTTTTATGTAAAAAAATTAAAAATAAAATATTTACATATTTATATATTTTTTTCATGAGGATATTTTCTTGTTTTTTATAAAGCTTTACACTTTGTGCCTTTTTTGGACTGTCTTTGTAGTTGTTGTTTTTTTTTTTTTAATTTTATATACACATATTTTTTTTTATATATAAAATGTTTTGTTTATTTTATTTTGTTTTTTTTTTCTTTCTTGAATTTGGTTTCTTGATTTGGTTTGTGGTTCTATTTTTGGTTTCCATTTAAAAAAAAACTGTCTATCTTTGGTTGTTGTCTTTCATAGTTGTTTGGTTATTTTAAGAAATCGTCCTTAAATTAATCTGGAAAATTTGTTTAACGTTACCTTAGGGCCTAACAAGAGCTCTATCTATAAACACTAGATTGGTATCACCGTATTTGGTCATGTTCAGTTTTTCCGCGGCATTGTTCTTTTTCGTTTGCGTGTGCCATGTTAGAATCTGAAAAGAAAAAAAAAATATTTTAAAAAAATATAAAAAAAAATTTTAATTTATATCAAGAAAATATTTAATTTATTTCCAAGGACCAATAAACGTAGATTTTTAAAGAATATTTTTCCAAGGACCAATAAACGTGGATTTTTAAAGAATTGGTTTTCAAGGACCAATAAACGTGGATTTTTAAAGAATATTATTTTCAAGGAACAATAAACGTGGATTTTTAAAGAATATTTTTCAAGGACCAATAAACGTGGATTTTTAAAGAATATTTTTTCAAGGACCAATAAACGTGGATTTTTAAAGAATATTTTTTCAAGGACCAATAAACGTGGATTTTTAAAGAATATTTTTTCAAGGACCAATAAACGTGGATTTTTAAAGAATATTTTTTCAAGGACCAATAAACGTGGATTTTTAAAGAATATTTTTTCAAGGACCAATAACGTGGATTTTTAAAGAATATTTTTCAAGGACCAATAAACGTGGATTTTAAAGAATATTTTTTCAAGGACCAATAAACGTGGATTTTTAAAGAATATTTTTTCAAGGACCAATAAACGTGGATTTTTAAAGAATATTTTTTCAAGGACCAATAAACGTGGATTTTTAAAGAATCTTTTTTCAAGGACCAATAAACGTGGATTTTTAAAGAATCTTTTTTCAAGGACCAATAAACGTGGATTTTTAAAGAATCTTTTTTCAAGGACCAATAAACGTGGATTTTTAAAGAATCTTTTTTCAAGGACCAATAAACGTGGATTTTTAAAAAATATTTTTTCAAGGACCATCAGATCAATAAACGTGGATTTTTAAAAAATATTTTTTCAAGGACCATCAAATCAATAAACGTGGATTTTTAAAAAATATTTTTTCAAGGACCATCAGATCAATAAACGTGGATTTTTAAAAAATATTTTTTCAAGGACCATCAGATCAATAAACGTGGATTTTTAAAAAATATTTTTTCAAGGACCATCAGATCAATAAACGTGGATTTTTAAAAAATATTTTTTCAGGGACTAATAAACGTGGATTTTTAAAAAATATTTTTTCAAGGACCATCAGATAAATAAACGTGGATTTTTAAAAAATATTTTTTCAAGGACCAATAAACGTGGATTTTTAAAGAATATTTTTTCAAGGACCAATAAACGTGGATTTTTAAAGAATATTTTTTCAAGGACCAATAAACGTGGATTTTTAAAGAATATTTTTTCAAGGACCAATAAACGTGGATTTTTAAAGAATATTTTTTCAAGGACCAACAGATCAATAAACGAGGATTTTTAAAGAATATTTTTCAAAGGACCAATAAACGTGGATTTTTAAAGAATATTTTTTCAGGGACCAACAGATCAATAAACGAGGATTTTTAAAGAATATTTTCCAAAGGACCCATAAACGTGGATTTTTAAAGAATATTTTTTCAGGGACCAACAGATCAATAAACGAGGATTTTTAAAGAATATTTTTCAAAGGACCCATAAACGTGGATTTTTAAAGAATATTTTTTCAGGGACTAATAAACGTGGATTTTTAAGAATATTTTTTCAGGGACTAATAAACGTGGATTTTTAAAAAATATTTTTTCAGGGACTAATAAACGTGGATTTTAAAAAATATTTTTTCAGGGACTAATAAACGTGGATTTTTAAAGAATATTTTTCCAAGGACCAAAAAACGTGAATTTTTAAAGAATATTTTTTCAAGGACCATCAGATCAATAAACGTGAATTTTTAAAGAATATTTTTTCAAGGACCATCAGATCAATAAAGGTGAATTTTTAAAGAATATTTTTTCAAGGACCATCAGATCAATAAACGTGAATTTTTAAAGAATATTTTTTCAAGGACCATCAGATCAATAAACGTGAATTTTTAAAAAATATTTTTTCAAGGACCATCAGATCAATAAACGTGAATTTTTAAAGAATATTTTTTCAAGGACCATCAGATCAATAAACGTGAATTTTTAAAGAATATTTTTTCAAGGACCATCAGATCAATAAACGAGAATTTTTAAAGAATATTTTTTCAAGGACCAAAAACGTGAATTTTTGAAGAATATTTTTCCAAGGACCATCTGTCGGACGATGGGGCTTAAAAATAACAACGGTCTGAAGTTGGTTGCAGTTTTTTTCATTTCACCCTGTAAGGGTATGAGTGACTTTATATATTTCACATCACTCATACGCAGAGCTGTCCTACAAACGACTTGAGTCCACGAATCTATTTAGCTTAACTCTAATAATTTGTAGTAATCCCTCTCCCCTCCCCTCTCCCAATCACCTCTGTACAATTGTTGGCCAACAGCTCAATTTCGCCATTTTCAAATGGCGCCAGACTTTTCAAAAAACCATCCTCCTCATAGCCCGCCTTAAAGGGCATTTTCGCTTTGGGTCTTTCGTGCAGAAATCTCACGCTCACCGCAAAGCCCGCCATATCGACGGGATATTTTCGACCACCCAGCCAGCCATCATAGAAGCCAACAATTTTGCCATTTTTCACAATGGGACTGCTGACGCCGTATTTGGTGACCAGGCCCACCGGCCACATTGAAACCTTTTTGGTATAGCGCATCTGGAAAGAAATTGAGAATATTTATAATTTTTTTTAGTAAAAAAATAAAAAAATTTACTGACATTATTTAAAAAAAAAAAAACAAGTAAAGAAGCAGTTAAGTTCGGACGGACCGACTTTTAATACGTGGAGGAAATCACTCTAGCTTCCCAACGAAATGAAGTAGTTTGATAAAATTTTACTCAAATGTGAATCATGTCTGCAGGACTTTTGGTATTGAAAATGGGCCATGTAGGTCCACGTCTTCGTATAGCCCCCATATAACAGTACCTCCCTATTTTCGGTATTTTGATGATTTTAGCCACATTATTTACCGGAATTATTTCAAATTTGGTATTTGGAGTTCGCAATCGATACTAGAGCCTGAGACAGAAAATTGTTTGTGCAGATTAACGTCTTCGTATAGCTCCCATATAATGGTACCTCCCGATATTCGGTATTTTGATGATTTTAATGACATTATTCACCGGAATTGTTTCAAATTTGGCATTTGAAGCTCGTAATGGATACTACAGCCTATGACAGAAAATTGTCTGTGTAGGTCCACGCCTTCGTATAGCCCCTATATAACGGTACCTCCCGATATTCGGTATTTTGATGATTTTAGGGACATTATTCACAGATTTTTTTTTTTCAAGTTTCGCATTTGAATATTTTAATGGCTTATGACAAAAGTTGCCTGTGTAGGTCCACGTCGTCGTATAGACGGTAATATAACGGCTATATTTGGTATTTTTACGATTTTCTCAGAATTTTTAACAGATTTTTTTTTTATGAAAATTGCCAAATTCCTCCCAAATGGTGGCGGTTATTCAAAGTTCAGGCCGGCCGAACTTACAGCTTTTTTACTTGTTTTTAACAATTTTTATTAAAAAAACTGTTTTATTTTATTTAAAATTTAATAGTGATTTAAAAAAAAATAATTCAAAAAAATAATGAAAACTTTTTAAGATCAAAAAAAAAAAATTATTTAGAAAAATTATTAA